GTCGACGATGGAGCTCCCTCTCCACGCCACGCAGGTACTGGTCGAGCACCTGTTCACCAACAGGAGTCCAAGTCCCGCGGCCCAGTTTGACAGCGTGCGGCCGCGCGCGTTGGTCCTGGCGTTCCCCCAAATCATGGAGTGCGCGTTGAAGTCTCCCAGGACGAGCACTTGCCGGGGGAGTCGTCGCCTGACGCAGTCGCCGACTCCGTTCAGGAATTCCTCGAATGTTGCCCGTCCGCTGTTGGGTGACACGTTCACTCCCACCCCCACCATCCCTGCCCACTCGATCGCGACGTATCCGATGCCGCGTTCCAGCAGGGCTCCGCGGACGAATGCGCCGGGCTTTGATGTCCAGGTGACGGCAACGATTTCGCCTGTATCTCCGGCCCATTCCGGAGCATCCGGGACTCTGTATGGTTCCACCACTACCGCTAGGGCGACCGTGCTCTCCCAAATGGTTTGGTATAGCAGGTCTTGCGCCCGCCTTGATTTTCCTAGGCTCGTCTGGAGGATGCGCATTTTCGGCCCCCTAGCGGCGTCGCTTCTCTGGCTTCCTCCGTGCCAGCTTCTTTGTCCGCGGGCTTAGGATCGCTGTTGAAGTGGTTACCACTTCTAAGAAAACTCTACATCCGGTCTTTTTAGTTTTGCTCAAGCACTGAAGCCATCGACAGCGCGAAGACGAAAGACTGTGACGAAGTCAGACCATAAACAGTAGACAGGCGACGTTGTCTTCGGGTTTTTCAGTTACTGGGTAACACAGCTAGCGTGCGAATCTGCACCAGCTCAAATTGTATTCTTACTTATTACACTTCTATTTAAATATATTTTCTGCCTTACAATTTATCCACGTGTCTTCTCTGTTTACACATCGAATAACCTCAACAGGTTATGGGCCCAGGGCTGTAAATTGCAAGGTAGCAACGTGAAGTGAATAAATTGTTAAAGTGTTGTGCTTAGTAAAATAAGGGATAGTGCTAAAATGGAATCAGCAAGTGCGAAGATCGAGATGTTACGCGGTGAAGAAAATTGGCTCCTAGGCGTTTTGTTATGCGTACACTTTTGGAGGAAGCTGACGACCTGATCAATGAGTGCGAAGGGAATCTGTGTCATCCAGGTAACAGCGCGGAGAAAGAAATCGCTCGTGAAAGATTTTTGAAAGCAGATCGATTAGCGAGAAAATTAATCGTGACTACAGTCGGAAGGGAACCGATGGATCTTCTTCTATGTTGCACAACAGCACACGAAATGTGGGAAAAGCTGAATACAGTATATGACA